GTGTGTGTGTGTGCGTGTGTTGGCTAAACAGCCATGCTCCAACAGCTGATTTATGGCTGGCCAATGGCAACAAAGTTCCCACGAAAATTATTTGCCCGAGTCGAGCCAGAGACACACCCATGAACTAAATAAGGACCAAAAGAAAGGAGAGGAAAGAAGTGAGTGCGCACTAGTGTCAAACATGTCGGACTGGGAGCGAGGGGGCAGGAAAACAGGAGGGCAGTGCACTCTGCAGGCACCCTCACACGCCAGCACTCGGAGGATACAAATAAAATTTCGTATTATCTTAATTTATTTTCTGCTTAAATATCATTACGCGCGACTGTAAACGACTCTCAGTGGTCACATTTAGGACAGTTATGTCTTTTTGTGGAATACGATGAGCAGAGCATATGAAACATATGAAGACAGCACATTGATGTGAAACTATTTTTGCAAAGAGAGAAAACCCGGAAAGAGCAAATGTTACATGCAGAATGAAAACGAACATTATATTTGATTCATTTAACCACATGCACTTTTGCACGATTGATATCTTGGTAAAATAAACCTGTCTGTGCTTTCCATTTCTAATCTTCAGTATTTGGTTGCCTGACTGACAAATAATTAAAAGCAATAAACAAATCACTGCAGTGTCACAATATAGTTAGGCTGTTGAGTGCATGTTGTCCAACACCGTGGACAACACCGATGTGCAAACAGAGAGCAGAAATATGTCGCATTTATAAATTCCATCGACAGGGACATTCCTGTGTGTCAATTAAAGTCATTCAAACGGTGAAATGGTATTGATTTCTTCACTGAAAACTATCCTAATTATCAATTCAATGTACAGTGAGTCGGGGCCTACATGTATGAAACCTTGAAGCATTATGAATGGGCACACAGGTAGAAATAGAGGTCGACTTGGCTGATGGTCATTTGCAGCAAAACAGGCAGAGCTGCAACCACAACACCCCAGTTTAACCACAGGAGGGCGTCAAAGAGAACCTCTTCTGGCCACCATCCAATGAATTTTTCAGGCGAAAAGCCCATCCCCATTCAAATCCAACAACAAACAAATAAGGTGTCAACAGCATGCAAAAACCAACAGGAAGACCAAGACGCAAAGCCAAACCGGTGCTAAATGTTATCTAACTCAGATTGATTTACAACGTAGCAACTGTCATTAAAATCACGACCAAACAAACTGTAACATGAAACCATCTCTTCCACAGGATTGAAACAACTGGATTTTTAAACAAAAGACAAATGAGGCGTGATATTTAAACACACACACAAAAAAGGTTATTATTTGCTTAAGTTGTTTGCCATTGCAAACTGACAAAAAGAGCAAACATGCAAGTTTCAGCTGTCTTACCTTGTGGAGGTCTCTGCTTGTAAACAGGAGAAGTGAGGGGAGGGAGTTGGCAGGTGCAGACGGCCAGTAACGGAGGGAAGTATCCAGCTGAGTCCCCGGACGGAAGCTGGGGCTCCCGGGGGTCAGTGACGCACCGGGGCTCCTTCCCCTCATCTTGCCAAAACATGTCAGCGACACCGATACCCAAAATCATCCACTCATGTCTGTAATAAAGCCCCTGCGCTTTGAGCCTCTGCCCGACCGAGAGAAAAATTAAAAATTAAAAATAAATAAGGGAGATGTGCGCTTGCGGTGTAAAAATGTAGAAGGTTGCTGGTGAAAACAGCCGCGTGGAAGCCCGAGACCGTTAAATGAAAGGCTGCTCTATTCCTCTATTGGAAATTATATATAAAAAGTTCATGTTCACGGCTCGGTGTCACGTGACAAGCTGGGCCAATAGGATGTCGAGCCGGGTCGTAAAGTTGTATTGCCATGTTGTAAATTTTCATAAACAACAACGGATTTATGACCCAGCGCTGGAGGGAGAGATAGGGGGGAAA